ATAAGATTTAACTACGGCCTATTCTAGACCTGTTCAAGCCATACTGCCCAGAAACATTAGGCATTTTCTGCCCACTCTCTACCTTTGCTATTATACTCTGACCTTTCGAAAAGAAAAACAAACGCAAAACTTAATGAGTGCCTACCCGACAGTCTTGCGAATACATAAAAGAATTGTTTCTGTCAGAAAAATAAAAGACTGGAATTAAAAGGAAGAGTTTCAAAGTTCGGAGGAATACTATCCGATCGGTATATACCAGCTTGAGCATCGATGTCGACGTCTCCCACGCTCCGAAAGGTTTCGAATTGTTGCCCTAAGGCAAGGGAAGACCAATCGGTATTCATTATTTTACATCGCTTCTTTTTGTGTTTGTTCTATGGGGTGTTCGTTGTCCGAACATAAAAATCTTTCGCGAAAGTGTTCATTATCCGATCACCCACTGTATATAGTTTAGCATTTCCGATAATTTTTAATTTATTTTTGAATTTTAAAATCTAAGAAAAACATATTTTTAAATTAAGTTTTATGCATTTATATCTGCAAATAATGCAAAAATATAAGAATCCATCAAAAAAAGTTAATTAATAATAATTAAAATTGAAAAAAAAAAAAAACTTTCAAGGTAAGGAAACTAGTAAAAAGTCAGGTATGCGATCACGTGACATCCATCTTCCCATTTTGTGTAACAAATGGTCAAGGTTGAAATAAAAGCTTAACTTCAGTAGAAGTAATAACAAACATCAGCGTGTGTCTAGGACAATAAATTTGAACAGGAGCGAAGATGAAACATGACACCATGTAATTTATGCTGATTACCTTCTAGTATTAAAAAATTAAAATCTTCAATAAATTATAAGTAAATTAAATATTTTTTTTCACTGAGTTTGAAAAGCTAGATTAAAGTGAAAATTGTGGTTTTTTTGATGTTAGATATTTACAAATTAATTTTTTAATTTGGTGCTGGATTGACTACAAGTGTGCAATTTATATTTTAATTTATATTTGAGCATGCGCATGACAGGTTGGAACCAAATGCTTCATAGCATTTATTTATATGTTTCTTGTAGCTTGATTATTGGAAGATTGCATGGAAATCTTTACTAGATACACTGATGTTGGAAGCACACAATGTGCAGAAAAGCTCCAAGTCAGACAACCTACATCCCCATGATGACACCACAAAAACATTTGAGTTAGTTTTAAGAAGCAAACCTTCCCTAAGCATGCACTTTGCCTTGCTCATGGTTTACCAGTGGTGTGCTGTGACATTTGATGATAGGGAAGCTGTGTTTCTGTAAAAGGCAGACTTCCAGGAGCAATTAACTGATTGCCCCTGGAAGTTGGCTTCAATCTTATAATTTTTTTCACATGTATATAAATCTGTAATAAAATAAATAATGCAGTTATAATAAAATATCAATTTTAATTAATTCAAAGTACAGTAAGACCCCACTTAACACTGATTTGATATAACGTGGTCTGCTCAAAGCCTTTAAAAAAGCTCAAAATTTACGCCGATTCAAATTAATGTTGCATTTCATTGATTTGTATATAATACAATTATTCCCAAACAGGAACCAATTGGCAAAAGGTGGCAATTTGTTGTAGTGCTGTACTTTCCTTAAATCTATGTTGTTTTGTGCAACTTTGTAAAAAATATAACATCATGGATACCATAGGAAATATCGACTTCGCTTGGCAAGAATTAACTGATAAATGCACGAACAAAGTGTGGAAAAAGTTATGGCTGAAGGTATCCAAGAATTCTCAACGGGAAGAGCGTAATCAATACAGCAGGACTAGATGTAGACAAGCAGGATATTGGGGAGTTACTGCAGGTTTCTGGTGAGAGCCTTACCAATGACAACCTTCAAGAACTGGCAGAACAAGGAATTTGTGTAGAACTGGAAAATTGTGACTCTGAAAATGAAGAACCCCAAAAAATTTGTCTACAGATTTTCTTAGTAAAATTTTTTTTAATGATAACCGAAATCATTGATCAAATTGTAGCAAATAATTCAGATTTTGAAAGGAGTGCAAAAGCAAAACAAGGCATTTTGGATGCAATCTTCTGCTACCGACATTTGCTTAAGGAAAGAAAAAAGCGACAAATGAAACTACGCGATTCTGTTGCAAAAAACAAGATTTTCAGAAAAGTCAGGACATTTGTCATAAAAAAATGAACTTTACATTTCCGTGTGCATATGTTTGTGTGTTATTTAACATATATATTATTATGCAAATTAATATAAAAATAATTTAAAATTATAGTAAAATTTATTTATCTGTGGTTGCATGTTCCCCTTTCCCTATTTACTCCATGTTAAAATGATCTCATTTAATGCTGTTTTAATGTGCTTTCTTACCACACCAGGTTGTATATACTCCAAACCAACAACTACCTACAATTAACCATTAACCGGTGCGAAATTCTTTAAAATCAGTGAACGTTTTCGATTCCCCTCCTGGGATCTTCTTCAGGCTTACTTCTTTATAGCTTTCGTTATAACCGGATTCTTTAATTCGAATGTTTTTGAAAAAACGTAACGTGCCATTTTTCGAAAAAATTTCCGAAAACAAAAGGAATCCACGTGTTATTTCAAATGTAATTTTCTACCAATGGGAAATCGTTGTGTGCATTACGTCATAAAATTTATTTTATACAATATATTATGATTTATCGTCAATAAAAATTGCCATGCTGCAGAGAGATTTATTTCTTCTTTGAAATTAATGCATGCGGATTTACGATCGGCTTTAAAGATTTCCAGTGCCTCCAAAGTTCTTAGTTGTTCCGTGTGTTGGGTGGTGCGAATAACATGCGCTTCATCGAAGAAAGGTGTGATGTCCGGGTTTGTCGCATACGTAGATAGGGCCGTCGTACATTTATTATGTTCGATGTCTGATTTATGTTCTTTTAATCTTGTGGCCAATGAACGCTTGGTGGATCCGATATACACTAAAGGCCTATCCCATCTGTTATCTTTTAATGGAATACTGTATATCCCTGGAAGCCTATTTGGGTCTGAATTGTCCTTCCCGTTCCTTAATAAACTGTAAATGGTTGGGTTTCTTTTGTATGCAATATTAATTCCTTTTATTTTTGCAATTTTTTCGTACATTGCCTTTAGATGCGGGTTATACGTTATTGGTACCCTCTGTACGCTATCTTCATTTCCATTATTTAGTACCTCTACCTTTTCTTCTGCACCATTCTGCAAATGCCGGTGCTGCTTACATAAACCTTTTATCATATTGTTGTAACCATGCTCTTTAGCTATCTTCCTAATGTAATTTAATTCTCGTTGGAGGGCTTGGGAGGTGGAAGAATGTGTATATGCTCTTTCTACTAATGCTCTAAACGCCGCTATCTTGTAAGAAAATGGGTCACAAGATTCATAAGGTATATACGTTGATATCGCTGTAGGTTTTCTGTATACATAAGTTTGTACCGCCCTTTCTTTCATATCTATGCCTATATCCAAGAAGTGTACTTTATCCTTACTATGTTGTTCCAGTTCCACTACGAGGCCATATGGGTTGTTGTTCATTGATTCCATAAATGTTTATGACGTAATGCACACAACGATTCCCCATTGGTAGAAAATTACATTTGAAATAACACGTGGATTCCTTCCGTTTTCAGAAATTTTTTCGAAAAATGGCACGTTATGTTTTTTCAAAAACATTCGAATTAAAGAATCCGGTTATAACGAAAGCTATAAAGAAGTAAGCCTGAAGAAGATCCCAGGAGGGGAATCGAAAACGTTCGCTGATTTTAAAGAATTTCGCACCGGTTAATGGTTAATTGTAGGTAGTTGTTGGTTTGGAGTATAACGCTGTTTTGCTTAGTGTTTTGTTGTCTAGGAACACATCCCCCGCGTTAAGTGGGATCTTACTGTACGTTAAAATATGAAAATAAACACACAATGTGTATTTATATTTTAGAAAATACAAGGGAAGTGGTGCTTCCACAGATGGCATACCACTGTGGTTTACTTTAGGTTATAGTTTCTGTCGAAATGAAAAATGAAGAACAATGTTAGAAAGCAGAAAACCATGGTGCATGCCAAATATATAAGCACCCACTTAAAACCAAACTTTTGTCTTTGTCTAATGATTGTGTCTACAGAAGTTATTAATATTTAAAATACTAGTTTAAAATCTTGTACTTTCTAGCACGAGGTTCACTCAATTTTTAATTTTACAAAGTACTAGAAAGATACAAGCTTTTAAACAAGTGTCCTACAATGTTTTATTTAATAATAACAGTAGAAATCAAATTTATTATTTATCAACAATTATTATTTTTGGTTTATCTACACTAGTCAAGAACGAGTGATGTCATCGTTTAAGCTAAAGAATAGTAGAAATATTGTAAGAAAATATATATAAATAATAGTAGAAATATATATAAGAAAAAGAATAGTAGAAATTCAGAAAGTATTGGATTCTATACGATTTTTCATTGCTAAAACAAAAGAAAGAAAGAAATTTTATTTAATACTAACAGTAGAACTGTTAGTATTAAATAAAATCTATTTCTTTCTTCTGTCCACTGCACTTAAATAAATACAAATGCTAAAAATAATGCCATACAAAAATCACTCTTAACACCAAACTATAGGTGTACTTATGCCTTAGTGCCGTATGATTGTATCAAAGTGCTGCGGAGATCAGTATTTCACAGGAATATAAGTAAGGATAACTCACATGCAAATTCCTACAGCATGTACAGAGTAGCAAGCCTTGAGAAGCTCCTCATTAGCCTATACATGTACATGTGTAAACAACAGTGCATTATCATGTGCACACGGTCACATGATAAGGCATATGGGGGCATGCTGGTCACTATTTCGCACCCAAGCACATTTATGAAAAAAAAATTCCACATGGAAAGTAAAAAAGGTGAGTTTGCCACAGAAAAAGCTAAAAAAGCAAATCACTTTAAGCCCTGTAATAATCTCATAATTGTAATTTGTGAAATAGTAAAAACTTACCATATTAGAATCTGTCCTGAATCATCTCCAGTTGCTAGAATTATTTCAGAAGGATGACATGCCACACAGGTTAATTTTCTTATTCCAGTTATATGCCTGAAATAATTTTAATAAAAAAGTTACTTCAAGAATTTCAAATCAGAAAAATAATACTATATTGATAGAGTTTGATTTTTGAAGATCACTGATTTTCTATTTTTAGAAAATAATTTGTATCATATTCAGAATATGAAAAATGACCAGTGGTTATAAACATTAAGATTTAAAACAGTATGGAAGCAATTTTATTCCATTTCAAGATAGTCATTCAATTTAGTATTTGAGATATTTTATAAAATTCAATTTCTTTTCATTATTACTAAAATATTTATAAGACAACAGTACAAAATGCAGGAATTTCTGCTTTAACTCAGAAGGCATACTATTAATACTACTATAAGAATGAAACATGTTTGAGTACATGATATTTGTAATAAACTAGTAAAAAGGACAACTGCATAAATTCTAGCATGCAATTAAATAATGTACTTTAATGAATTGTTTCTTATTAAATATCATTGGTAAACAGACATGGAATTTATTATTTTTTCTTGAATAAACCACTTTTATAATTTTAATTTTAACAATTATTGTTAAATTGCATTAGACATAATTATGCAAATGTGAGAAACTGGGGTTGAGGCGCAAGACTTAACATGTTCGCCAGTATCAGATTGGCGAGATCTACTCACTGTGTCACCGGATGGCTATTTTGTTTAGTGGGGAGGGTCTAGCAGGATCATCAATAAAATGTTGGCGATACATGAGTAAGAGCAACCACTTTTAAATATCAACAAGTTTAATATAAAACTAAAAGTATACAACATTACAGGATTCAACATAACATGACGTGCTAGGGATACAGGTCCCATGTTCTAGCTACAAATACACATAGAGAGTATTATTAAAACTGATTTCTAATGCTTAGTATCGACTGAGAGAGAGCGTACATAAGATTGGTTAATTATTAGTGTTGTAACAAATAGTATATTCGGCCGGAGGCCGAAAACTGAATATTTGGCCAGGATAGCCGAATATTCGGCATGATTAACGCACGTACAAAAATTGGTGCGCAAACCGCATTATGGCAAGGATCCTGCTCTCTATTGGCCCACTGTCACTACGCTTCGCCAATCGCGTTAATTCTTGGCAGTTGTAGCCGACAGACAAGAGTGTCATGGAAGTATGTGATAAAGGATGATATCAAATGACCTACACTTGTAAATAACGGAAAAAGAACAGAGAAGGACCGTGAAATGAAAATGTGAAAATAAATATGAAATTGAGTTGATAACATAATCGAACAAGTCGAGGCAGCTTATTGGCACAAAATTCACACCCATCAATGCCAAACAATTGTTGTCATAGACTTTGGAAAGCTAAATACTTGTAATGAAAGTCACTTAGCGTGCACAGGCGAAAGCCTGGGGCCGTTCGGGCTATCAAGCTGTCTCGAATCTGCGAAATCATAACTGTGACTTATATCGACATCCTATCTGTCTCTTTTCTCCGTTATCATCAGGCTGAGTCACGTAATTGTAAAATGGGAACTCTACGATGGAAAAGCGTCTAATTGAAAGTATTGTGAGCGCGTATTATGTACGTGTACGTGTGCTGATTATGATGTATGCACAGGCATACATGGATTAGAGCGATAGAGATAAGAGAAAGGGAAGAGCAAAGACGAGCGCTTAAAAAGGATAGACAGGGTCAGACCCTCAGATGTGTGATGATTCTCGAACAAATAGGTGTGTACGTGTGCTGATCTTTGTAATTATAAATTGTGAATACATGTGACTAATATTATTTTCTTTTTTATTTTTATTTTGTGCATGTTTCAAGTTATAAATAAATATAAACAAACAACACTAACTCAATAACATTAAATCTAAGTTTCAAAATGATTAATTTACTCCTGTTTTAGGTATTCAGTATTCGGCCGAATAGTGATTAAATATTCGGTATTCGGCTGAATAGTGAAAAATAGGCCGAATACCGAATAGTAACCGAATATTCGTTACATCACTATTAATTATCATATCTCTGTGCAGCAGGGTGTAACTTCATAGGCAAATTATTCAGAGAACCAGGAAGATGCTGGGACAACACTTACTTACTTCACAAAGATAGAGATAAATCCATAGGAACTTGCTCGTATTGGAGGATACAACACAAAGTAAAAAGTTATCTACTTGTAGAATGATTGTCGTGAAAATTGGGTGTGCTATCATTATATCCTCATCAGGTGTGGGAATTTGGTCAGGTGATCTTTTGTTGAGTGATGATACTTAGACTGGGCTGGGCTGACTAGGACGGTGAAAATCAGTCTACTTCAGACAGATAGTTTACTATTTATTTTGATTGTTTTTAGATTCTTACAGTGGACTTGGTTAAATGTCAACTTTCCCACACATTAACAATTAATTGTTATAATTTTAAATTGAAACTTTCGCAAATCGAAGAGAGGGGGAAGGGACTTGTTGTGTCAAGGACCCTCTCTAACATGAGTTCCTAGTCGATTGTTTACTGTTAAGAATATAATTTGCTTGTCTATTTTCCTAATTCTGTGGTCTAACTCATCTTTTCACTAAAATTTACAGAAACACACGCTCCTGGATCTCACACAAGTCCATTGTATGAAATTTATAACAAGTTTGAAATGACATTCAATTATTATAAATTTTTCAATAAAGCAGCAGCAATTATTAACAGTAATCTAAATACCATAACTAACAGTTAAACAATCAATAGATATCTTTTTAGTAAAATGAAAACTGGATGCTATAAAATTAATTGTTTTACATAATTGAACACAGAGCCCTCAAAATGTGTTTGAATTATTTATCTTTAAAATAATTCAACAGATACAGAAATCAGTATGTACTGTTCAAAATATTTTCACAATTCAAAATTAACCTCAAGGCACAATGTTCTTTAGCTTCAGAGATGGTCCATGCAGCCATTGACAGGCAATACAAACTTTAAATCAACTTCTTGTAAATAACCTTACAGACATCAAAAACCAGCAGAAATAAAATTTAATAATTAATAATAAAAATAATAGTAATTTTATTTCTGCTGTCTTTTGGTGTTTGTGAGATCATTTATTTGCTTATTAAGCCAGTATGCCTAGAAGTGACTTTAATCAAGTTCTTGTAATTTACATGATTTCTATTTACAATCCCAAAACTTTTATCTGATAATCATACTTTGAAACATTATTGTAATGCTACTAGGAATTGCATTACTTGTAAGTGGTTTACTAATAACCAGTTTTAAAAAAAGCAGTAATTTGATAAAAATAGATACACACAATAATCTAAAGGAAAATATTTATTTGTTTATACTTTCATAAATATTCACTTTTATATATATATAAAGACCTATGTGCTCCAATAATTATTTGTGCATTTCCATTTGTTATATCAAGCCAATTATTCCAGTGAGCTTTTGGAGTGAGCCCTGAATGAAGTGTCAAATGTTTTTTTTATTTAAACTGTTAAAACTGTATGAAGTTTATGTCATTTTTCTTTTAAATTATTACTTTACAGTTCTTTACAATTTTTGAAGTATCATGCTACAGATCTAAGCTGGACAGTTTGATGATTTGCCACTGACTCAAACATAAGAGCTGACCTACAAGGGGCTAAACTGATAAAGCTGTCTCACTATGTTGAACACCTTTGAAATCTGGAAGCACTTGAAATTTACAAAGCTGGGTTACATGCCAATTGCATTAACTCTAATGATGCCATCAATGTGTGGAATCACATGCATGGAAGTACTGCTATAAAGGAACGGGTAATGCCCACACCAGCAGTTAGAAACCATGCCCCCACCCTCAATTGATTTAATTCATATGTATGTATATCATTTTTGTATTACTTATATCATTCCAGCACCATGGTAACACACATGCATATTTTTGTATACATACATCTGGAGTGTTCCATTGGTTTAAAAATCTGTTTGTGCTGTTCCATTTTTTAAAAATAATTTTGTAATTTTGTTCTTCACATTCACATGTTCGAATCCGACTGGTTTTTTAAACCTAAAGAAGACCGAAAGTACGGTCGAAAGCATTTGTTTTCTATTAAATATTTACTACTGAGCTTTTGAGGTTTAAGAGTGTTAATTTATATACGATCCAGTATCTATGTAAGAAAGTTGTTTTAACAGTTTGATGATTTGTTTCTTCACCTATAACACCCTAAAGTGGCCTAACAATTGTAGTTGACAAAATTGAACAAATTTGTTTGAATGTGAGTGCTCACTGCCCATTTTTTAATCATAGCAATTAAAAAATACAGCATTACAAAACTGCTGCTTTTCAATAAAGAAGAAAGAGAATTCAATTATACACAATGCACTAGCGATTTAATTATAGACTCACTGCCAAATCAGCAACTAAATCACCAGTGAGCTCAATTTTGCATTTGAAGTTTAAAAATTACCAGTAAAAAAAGGTATTAATTTATGAATAATTATCAGGTATAGAAACCAATAAATTACCATACAATCAACATTTTAACAGTACGATTTCAAGTTAATATGCAAAAGCATGAAATTTACCAGATATGTAGTGTAAGGAGTAGATTCTAACCTATTTTGTTTTGTTTGGGAATCATTTTTTGTTTGTTTTTTCTATTTATTTTAGGGCATTTTATTTTGTTAAGGATAGACTTCTGCACCTCATTCAAACAAAATTCTGAAACTAAAAATGAAATTCACCTTACTATGATAATTGCTGAGGGCAAATTGAATGAGTCATCGACCTGGAAATGACATCTCAGGAAGAACTTCCAAAGGGAAGTTAAAAGAATGATCTCCAAACTCAAATTGTCATCAAAAATTAAAAGAAAAAACAAATTATGTGAGATTGATGACATGACATGAAAAGAAGATTGCTAAGTTTAAATAAATGTTAACTATTGTGTAGGTGTAAAAATGTAATATCACCATCCCAGCACTATTAGAAAAGAGATGAGCTGCAAATAAGACAAGGTGAAGCTAAGGATCCAAGCAAAGTTAAGGAAAAACACTTTCGAATTAAATGGCGTAGAAGTTTCTTGGTGATGGTTAGGCAAGTTAATTATAAGATTCTTTTGTGAACTTTCTATATACAGTCCAGTTTCATATTTATTGTTGGCTTTTTGTGGAGATAATTCTAAGTTAATTTTAAGTTCCCAAGTGTCAGAAAAGATTTTTGTACATAATTGTTTTTCGTTTTGATTAGATAAAGTATCTTTTTCAAATTTTCTAACTTATTTTGTATTGTACGTTGTAAGTCAAAAACTATTTAACAGAATTTTGTTTTCCTTTTTTATTTATAGTAAAGTAACTATTTTGGGCTTTTCATACATTAACAGAACAGTAATTTTTTTTTGTCCGTTTAAAAGTCCAGGTCTGGCACCAACTGACCCTTGTTTTTGGTTTATGTAATGCACATTAAATAATTTCCAAGCTTCTGAAAAAATAGATATTAGGCCAGGAACACACATGTGTAAACTTCGGCGTAAAATCTAGCATAAAACAGAAAGCATAAAAATTTTTCTGAAATTTTGGCTGAAACATAACTGAAAAAAGAGTAGAACACGTCTCTACTTTTTACGCTGTAAAACTTTTACGCCAAAATTCCTCCAATAAAGAGAAGTGTGTTTTGTGACGTCAAAGTAGACATGTGGTTTTTATTCTAACAATGGCGGCAATGATTGCCGCCAAATGTCCACTTTTCGAGACCGTCACAATTGTAGGGTAAACCATCATGGTTAACCCTACAATTGTGACGGTCTCGAAAAAGAGAAAAATAAACGAAATAGAAGAGTTTATCGAACCCAATTGATCACATCAGTGTCTTTATGACATAAAAAGTGCCACATATAAAGACAGTGTTTAAACAAAGTGTATGCACAGCCATAAGTGCTAAATTTCAAACAACAGGTAGGTCTAGTAAAATCAATATATAATATTTAGATCACATGTTGTTTATTTCAATTTGGAATACAAGTCTATTAATTTAAATTTTCTAGATTATGGCAGAGGCAGCAGAGAAAAAATGAAAGGTACAGAAGGATAGATATATGAGAGAAAAAAAATTAATAAAATGTAGCACTTAGTAACAGTGGTATTTTTGATCGTTAAATTGTAGTTCCAGAATCAACAAATTATTAAATTCATGTAAATCTTGCTCTCGAAATAGTTTCCTAACCCACCAGTGTCTATTTTGGCATTTTTTAATAAAATTATTTCTTAATACAGTAGAGCTTCGATTATCCAAAAGTCAATCATCCAAAACAATTCCAGTCCGCAAATTTAAATTTTCGCCAGTGCTGTGGCGCAGCAATCTTTGGCTATGTCTTAGGCTACTCAAATATTTTACGTTTTTGATACTAAATTAACTTCTGAAGTATAATTTTTTATTGTTTTTATATTTTTCAATATATTTATTTTGTTCGTACAAAATAAAAAAATAATTTTTAATAATACAATAGTTTTCGTTAGGCTTAACATCAACAAAAATTCAACGCAAAGTGACACGGAATGGAGAAAAATGTCAAGATGGGATAAATTAATATATTTTTTCGTACATAACCAGTTATCCGAAACATCGATCTTCCGAACAACCCCAGTCCCCAATTGATTCGGATAATCGACGCTCTACTGTATCATCAATGATTGAGTGGAATACAACCACCAACAAATATCATCATCAGATACTGACAGTGCCATTTCACTAAACTACATATGACGATGTTACATTTCCATTTCCTATTTGGCCAGAACTTTTACTTATGTGTGTTCTGGCATAAAAGCATAAAACAGAAACTGAACTGAAGGCTGATTTCTGATTCAGTTTTCTGCCACACAATTTTATGCATGTGTGTTCCTGGCCTTACAATAGTATCACACTGAAATATATGTATGCATGTTTTTCAGTGAAGTGGATAATAATTCTGCTTAAACATAGCTTTACTGGATAAAAAATTGCCAGGACAGATAAGTTTAAACTTACAAAATTTAAGAAAGATTCTAAAGTTTTACATATTGAGGCAGATTGAGGGAAGTATGTCATGTTTACCAATACATGAAAATTTCAGAACAAATGGCATTAATGAGGCTACATTAAGTTGACTTTGTGCCTGATTTAATATGCATGCCTCAACTTTTGAGAGAGAAAAATGGTGCATATTAGAATCAACAAATCACAATACTTAGAATACAATACTTACATTATTCACAAAGCAAATTATATTATAAAAGTTAAAAAAATATGTATATAATAAAAATGCAATTTGTTATTCAAAATGAAAAATAATTAATACAGATTTTCTTTATTACATGCAAACTTTGCCTAGTAAACTAATGTAGCTTAAAATTATTACTTTTTTTCAAATTTACCTTTTAAAAGAATTACTGGAGATATGCAGAACTCTCAAACTATTATCATTTACAGAAGCTACATATTCTTCCTATAACAATAACAAAAATCATAAATTTGAAAAATATTAAAACTTAAGAATGCTTAATATTTAAGTAGTTTACTTTAGATCCAAATGAGACACAGTTCTGTTTGGGAAGCACAGGTTTTAAAAGAAATCTTTTTTGTTTTACATTTCCAGCATTAACTGGAACATGAAACAACCTATAAAAATCTATAAGTAAATTTGCATATATGTTAGTATAAATTTATAAAATCTCAAAATTGAAAAAACTAAGAAGTAATACCTTCATTGTTTTTCTTCACAATCACATACCAAGAAAATTCTTTATGTGGAATATAAAATGCTTTGATTGGATTTTGGAAATTTAAGTTGTATGTCTAAAAGATAAAAATAATAAATAAAAAGAAAGAAAATTACAAGATATGTTTCTATGCATGGAAATGTAATTAATTATATATAAAATTTTTTAGAAGCACATGTTACCTTTAATATTAAGCCATCTTCATATTCCCATAAAAAAACTTCTCCATCTTCAGAACACGTAAAAATCTATTAAAACATTTTACAACAAAAATTTTAAATTATTTTTTGAAATATAAAAAGAACTATTCTATTAATTGAATTAATCACACATTAGACAAAATATTAATTATTATAAATGTGATAAACAAAAATAAGAATAAGAAAAGTACAATTATAAAATAAACAAAACCCAAATTTTATTTAAGATTAAATGTATTTGGATATAAAGTAGCAGCATTTCATTCTCTTCTTCATTGAGCATATCTGTACTCTTCAACAACTGATGTCAAAAGGAAATCAGTTTTATTGAAAATACTGCAATTTCATTTAGCTTCTCATGGTGATTATTCATAACCTTTCTTACAATTTTCTTTGTAGGATCCTTTCACCAACAAAAGCAAACAATATGCCAGAAGCAGTTAAGAACCTCAACATAACACATGTAACTCTATTAACCTATTACAAAATCATTCCAAAAACAAAAGGTCAAAGTTACTACAATCTGCCAGCCTATTTTCTAGTCTTAGAAATAAAAAAAAGTGCTCTCTTAAAAAAAATGATCTTTTGATGAGTAATAAGAAGGAAAATCTCAGCCTTTACATCAGCAGTACCTATCACATACTTAGGGTCAGACTTACCAAACACAGAGATTATCATCATAGAAAAACATCTGCAATCTTTGCCAAAGAGCTAATCTTCAACAGAAATACTATTCATTTGGCAAGATGCTAAGATTACAAAAACTATTGCAAGATATCTGGACTGCTGAAGAACTTATTGCAATCATGCAGATCCCTTCCTACTCAAAAGATGAGAAAAATTGGACATTGATACATGGATATGGCTAATAATCTCATGAAGCCAAACTAAAATATTGGAGTATTGTACATAGTTTTCAAAAATATTAATAAATAATTCATTATAAATTGAAAAGTGCTACTTGGTATTATCATTAAAACATTATGACAAGAATTCTCCGGAGTCATTTCAACAATGATCATCTGAAGCCAATATAAATCAAATCTCTATTGAATGTATTGTCACAAAGGGGAATGGCATATACTCCCAGGGTTTTATTTATATTTAGTGATTCTTCCCACAAAGTGGAAGGACCATTTTGTAAAGTGAAAATAGCAGAGGTTAATTTGTAAGTGATATTGTACCTGAGTCTGTTTATATATAGATGATAAAATGTGATTATATTGCACAATTAAACAATCTACTTTTGTTATCATTTGGATATACTATGTCACTACTCTTCAGACTCCAGTATGATTGCTATCAATGCCCTCAATAAGTTGCCTAGAAACCTCATGTGCAGGGTTTAAGCTGGGAAAAATTTTTCTGTAGCAGTTTAGTTAATTTTACTAAAAAAGTTGTAGCAAAACTTTAGAAAACGTGGCTGACATTTCTCATCTGTGAGGCTGCTCAGAAAAATACACAATACATTATTGTTTCAACATTTGTTTATTCACATAGATACTGTATATTATTATTACAGTGTACTGCACTGTTAATGAATAGTGAATCTATCATTACAACTCACAAGTATCATACATTATTGAGCAATTATTCTTAGTTTTGATTCACACCAGGCAACAAATATTAAATGAAAATCAAATACAGGTATCCCTCGGTTTACGCCGCAGTTCCGTTCCTACAAAAGCCGGCGTAAAATGAACCCGTATTTACAGGGAGGTATAGGGTTAGGTTCTACATAAGTGAAAAATAAGCTAATAATTTTGTTTATTAATACAATATAATACAAAATACATATAAATTTTTAATTTTTAAAATGTATTTTATCATAAAATAAAGTAAAATGTTTTTATTTAAAAATTTTAGTTTCGAATTTCTTACATTTTTCGGAAAAAAGTATCCATCTTTAATTGTTTACATTTTTGATTTCTTTCATTAAGAATTTCGGAATATGGTCGAATATGATGCTCCTTTTTACATTTGCACTTCGCTCCCAACATTGTCTAACTCACAAACTTCATCCGTCAAACTTTCCTTAGTTGAAAGGATACGTTAACCCGACGTAGAGCTACAGACGAGCGAAGACACTGATTGGTCGACCACCGGTCGCCGTAGCGCATATATAAGGTCAGTTTGAGCGGGAAAATTCAAGGTGGCTAAGGAGAGATAAATATCGTCTGGCCAACGAGAAGTAGATTTGTCTCACTAACGATAATTTGTGATCGCCGGAAGTGCTATTGCGTCGTAAGGTGTTTTCCTGAATGAACTGATACGGGATACATTCATTGGCGCTATGGATTCGGACGCCATTTATTGGACTATTAAGTTTAATATCTTGACTCGTGGGTACCTAAACGTTTAGTATTTTAATATTAATTTAATGCAAATGTATACATACCCAGTAATATTAAACAGAAAAAATAAATATATTTAATAAAAATCTTTGTTTTAACGAATGTACAATGACGTGGCTCGGTAAATACGTCAACACTGAAATGAAAATCAGTCTAGCGTAGGGAAAATCGGGAAATTACACCTCGAAATGGCAAATTTGCAGCAGCGTTATTGTGAATCGGCGTAAATTGAACCAGCGTAAACCGAGGGCTACCTGTACCTGTCTTGGAGGATCATTTATGGAGGTGTTCAACAAGTTGTTAACATTTTTTAATTGGATTTACTTTTGAATTGGAGTTGTTGTTAATTTCATTTCACAGAAACCTCTTTCATGTTCAACAGTGTGCATTGGGAATGAAAGAACAAATTCAATAACTGTTGCTATATGAGGGTAATCTCAGAGAAAGTAATTTACAACTGTCATTTTATAAACTTTAGCTGATGACATATCCTTACAACTGATAGTAACAAATCTTTTAAACAAATCCCACTCTATAAGAAATTGTGTTTTGTCTATTCCATTAAACTGTATTTGCAAAAACTTATGAATATCTGCCATTCCAGTATGACCATATCAGTAAATTCACTTGAGTCTGAACTCTGAATATTTCTTGACAACAGTATGATAAACAGTTTCAACTGTTCCAAATCAGAAAGCCTGATTTCTAAATTGGCAATCAAAGTAGGTAGAAAAACCCATTTCACATTTTCCAAAGAACACTGTTCCTTTAGATAGTCTTTTATCACATGACCATCAAACATGAATTCACAATAACTGAGACATCACTGGGCACTTTAGCTAAACAACATAGTATAATAACAAGTACAGTATTATTGCAGATTGTCCAGCATGTCAGTCTATCTGAGGAGACCACAAAATTATATATTTCCATATGGTAAAAACCATATGTGAGGATATACATCCCTCGGTAGAGGACACGTAAAAAGAAAAAAGTTATGTCATATAGTCTTATAGATGCCAAGTTTTATTCTAAAATTGTAAAATTATATACTTATATTCTATTTTATTCTGTAAATGTTTTAATTTTTACTTCTTTCAAAATGAATTTTTATTAGTGATGTAACGAATATTCAGTTACTATTCGGTATTCGGCCTATTTTTTGCTATTCGGCCTAATACCAAATATTTAAATCATTATTCGGCCGAATACCGAATACTTAAAAACAGGAGTGAGAAATAACAAAATCACAGTAAATTAATCATTTTGGTATTTAGATTTAATGTTATCGTGTAGTGTTATTTGTTTATATTTATTTATAACTTATAACATGCACAAAACAAAAAAGAAAATAATATTAGTCACATGTATTCACAATTTATAATTACAAAGATCAGCACACGCACACACCTATTCGTTCGAGAATTGTTGTACATCTGAGGGTCTGTCACTGCCTATCCTTTTTTTTAAGCACTCGTCTTTGCTCTTCCCTTTCTTTTTCCTCTATCGCTCTAGACCATGTATGCCTATGCATACATCATAATACCCCGCTCACGATACTTTCGATTCGTCACTTTTCCATTGTAGATTTCCCATTTTACAATTACGTGACTCATAGCCTGGTGATAATGGTGAAAAGAGACAGATAGAACGTCAGTATAAGTCACAGTTATGATTTCACAGATCCCAAACAGCATGGTAGCCCGAACGGCCCCAGGCTTTCGCCCGTGCATGCTAAGTAACTTTCATTACAAGCATTTAGCTTTCCAAAGTCTATAAAAACAATTGTTTGGCATTGACGGCTGCAAATTTTGCGCCAATAAGCTGCCTCAACCTGTTCAATTATGTTATCAACTCAATTTCATATTTATTTTCACATTTTTACTTTGCGGTCCTTCTCTGTTCTTTTTCTGTTATTTACACGTGTAGGCAGTGGCGTAGCGTGAGTGTCAGTCGCCTGGGTGGAGGAAAATTTCGCCACCTTATTTAGGTATTTCAATTTAAAAGACTAAAAATCAGTTTTGTCACAGAACAAGCAATGAAAAATTCCATGATAGTGCAGCGACCTGTTTAAAATAGCTGTATTGGATAGTGGTGGTGTATATGAATGCGAGTGAATCATGCAAGCGAAAAGAAAGGGGGGAGAAAGGTCAACAGGTTGTGCTGGATATCCTCGGATGAAATTACCTGGACGGCGAGCCAATTCCCAGACTGTCCGAACGATAGCACTATTGTAGGCACGATGCAAATATAGATTAGAATGGTTCAAATTTTTACAAGATATTATTATTATTTATTGTGAAATTTTTCCGCTCCTTAAAAAGTGCCACCCAGGGCGGGCCGCCCCTGCTACACCACGCCACTGTGTGTAGGTCATTTCATTGTCATCCACATTTGATATCATCATTTATCACATACTGCCACGACGCTCTTGTATGTCCGCTACAGCTGCCAAGAATTAACGCGATTGGCGAAGCGTAGTGACAGCGGGTCAATAGAGAGCAGGGTCCTTGCCATAATGCGGTTTGCACACCAATTTTCGTAGTGTATTAATCAAGCCGAATAGTTTGGCCAAATATTCGGCTATTTGGCCATGCTCCTGATCAAATATTCGGTATTCGGCCTGAGGCCGAATATACTATTCGTTGTAACACTAATTTTTATCTGTTAGACTAGGATTATTTCTTATTTTTCATGTAGATGCCCAGTATTCAATGCTTATATTTATTTTATACAAGTTTGTTTGTATCACATGCTGTAGGCCAGATCACATTTCACATAATAACTTGTAGTTGGCATCGTAATAAAAACCATAACCTACAGATTAACTCATTAGTTGTCAGTCAACTTGTTAAAATAAAAATTTCTTTTAAATCTCATTTATAAGCCAAATGAACTGCTGAATTATTGGGCTATAATATACTACAGTCCAATATTTCAGCAGTTCATTTGGTTTTACTATCAGGTTTTTGAGCTGATGTTCACACAAATTGGATACTACTGTTAAGTTAATTTTCATTTATATTTCTTTGTTAAATAAAATGAAATTAAGATACAATCACCTATCAAAACAAATTTTGAATGTATTAAACATTTATAGGTTCAGTTTTTGGGAACTGTTGCTTTACATGAGTCAATACTAATTTTTTACAGAGTAATTATACATGGTATTTCCACACAAATCAGATATTACACTCTGTGATTAAAAATCTTTAGCATTTACTTTTGTCATTTTAAAAAAATACATGGCTTCTCAAAGAAGCCAGGTGGCATAACTGTCAATGTTTTTTTCTGTTACTTCACATGTTATACCAAAAATAAAATCAATGGTCTGCATCACTACATTCAATGACAACAATATTAACTAGTACTTGCCAACTTATAATGGCTTATTCTTTAATTTTTTTGAAAACTATGACTCTTATGTAAAAATTATTTGTTTTTTCATCTTTGAAATGTCCTGCTTAGCCTATTTAAGCATGCATACCAAGCATATAAGAGCATACTTTTATTTGTGCCAGCTTGTTTTAACTTATAAGAGCACAACTATATACTGTTGTGACAATGTTCTAACACAGTATAATTCAGTGACATATCTGTAGTAACCTTTATTTAAAAAAATGTTTCCAATACAGTGGGTGATCGGATAACAAACACTTTCATGAAAGATTTTTATGTTCAGACAATGAACACCTCACAGAACAAACACAAGAAGCAGCAATGTAAAATAATGAATATCGATTGGTCTTCCTTTATCTTCAGGCAACAATTCAAAACTTTTTGGAGCGCAGGATATGTTGACATCAACATTCAACCCAGTATATACTGATTGGATAGTATTCCCCAAACTTTGAAACTCTCCCTTGTAATTCCAACCTTTTATTTTTCTGACAGAAACAATTCTTTTATGTTTTCTTCTGAAAAAGTGGATTAATGTTGATATCTGCTAATGTTGAGATCTTTTCAAGAAGTGGGAGGATGTCACAACAATGGTCTTAAAATGACATCCAAACCAAGTTGAGGTTAATAGGCTTAGGGATCTCTACAATTACAATGCTATTAATTACTTCTGAAAAATCCTGAAGACAGAAAAGCAATCGACATTGGACAGATTCTTTAACCCCCACAAATGGAAAAAACACGACTAATAAAAATGCAAGACTGTGTATTTTTATTATTACATATGAATAAATGTAGTAAAAAAGTATATATTTTTTATTTTTTGGGGTCTCCAGAATGAATTAATCAAATTCCCACAGAAACCTATGTAAATAAATAATCAGTTAACAAACAATTTGGATAGCAAACAAAGTTTTGGAACAAATGTTCATTAACTGATCACCCACTGTACATGTTTTTTAAGTACTTTACAGAATATAGTGTTGATATTGCTCTGTCTATAAGAGCATAATGTTGCATACATGAAAATATAGTAGCAACATTTTAAAAAAATTCTTTATCAGCATTACTTTTATTACTGAATATTCTAGTTTTTAAATTAGAATACTCAGTAAACTAAACTTCTCTAATTTAAATTAATTTGGGATAAAAATTCTCTGCAATAATTGTACTATCTAATATTATACTTAATAACTTTGATACAGTAGTAATCAGTCTTAAATTACCAACCTGAAACAACACTTCTGGATTATGCTGAATGGAGACAACAGCAGTTTGATGTCCAACTAAATCTCTCAAACATTCTCCTGTGGCTGTGCAAAATACTTTAACATTACATCCATATGGAACAAAAAGATATCTGATGATAAAAATCAATTCATTATAGCAATCATTGACCTAGTACTTTAAAATGAAATAAGTTTACTTTAAAAACCACCATAATTACATTTTATCAAAAAATCTAAATGGAAAATAGATATTAGAGAGGTTGAGGCACATGTATTTAGCCCAAAACGTGTACGAGTAACGGGTGAGTGCTGCCATCTGGCAGTTCTGGACCGTCGATAATGGCGTTTGCTACGTGTAGCTTGGTGAGTACACGATCGGCTTAAACGTCTTCATTTTTTTTGTGTTTGGGGTTAAAATTATGATTTATTTTGCTTCCGCCATTTTTTTCAACTTATTTCCTGTGAGTCAATGCGTGATGTTCACTGAGTCACGTGATGTTATGAACGTGCACCTCAATGATTTTTACTTGGACTTGAAACGTGTAATGTGTACTTCTGCTACCCGTACACGTTTAACGTTTGAACTTGTGCCTCAACCTCTCTACTTATTTATTTTATTCTGCTACCCGTACACGTTTAACGTTTGAACTTGTGCCTCAACCTCTCTATTAAGCTAAGACAATTGAACTTAACATTTAATAATTTGAATTGAATGTATGCAATAAAGTAATTAATTAACAAGGTTAATAATGTATTCCTTCAACAAACTTTAAACACTCTTTCAGAAGGAAAATGTCTCTTAATTTAAAATAACTAACATTTTTGGCCTTCTTCAAAGACCTGCATCAGACTTACAGAGAAAAAACAAACACAAACTGAGAATTCCAAATTTAGGATGTTTTTTGAGATTATACTTCTATATTAGAAAAATGTTTGATTTAAATGCTATAATTTGTTTTGCATCTTCCCAATTGATCATTACCTGAAGCTCATTTACACATTAGTACAGTTATGGGTTTATTATTGGATATATCATCTTTATGTTCTGCAATCTTGTGAGTCCAAGATTTATTAGCTTCCTTTACGAAGTATTCAATAAGACTAAAAATATTCTGAAAGACTTTCTATATTCTGTTTATTTTTAAGAGTCAGTCGACAATAATAAACTCACGCAGGAATCATGCGATCGCTAAGGACAGGGCTGAATTGAAAAAAATATTCAATTTTTTTCAAAATAAAACACATTAATTTTAAAAACATATACAATTAGAAAAAACATAAAAACTAATGATAAAGGCAAGGATTATAAATAAAACATATTTTAAATACTAAATATAAAACAACTTATTAAAAAATAATTAAAAGTAAATAAAATCAATTCGAGAAATCGCCGTCACTTTCATCGTTTAAATTAAAAATGATTCATTATTTAATTCTATCATATTGTCTAACCGCCACATATTAATTTCAACCTTGTCTTTAACATGTTCAACGCATTTTTTCCATATTTCTGGCATTATTGTTCCCATAGCCTCATAAAATAATTTATACATTTCTGAAAATTTAAAGTTAGTATTTCTAGTTGCTACATACCATTTGCACATGCCAACTGAACCTCCCAAACAACAAACCAATACTGCCCTGTTGATTAGTATGCATCAGTGCATCTGGTAAAGTGAGCGACTAATCACAAAGCATACTTTGAAGAACACGTGACAGTTACTCGTTGAATATTGTTTTGGAGCACTGTTGAAAATAAATAGACTATAGCTATGTACATATGTTGTTTGAGTAAATTAATTTGGTGGTCATCTGAATGTTTTATTGGTTACTTTCTCAGAAATTCTCGGCTCCGTTTCAAATGAATTGCCTCAAACAATAGAGGCATTTCACCATTACTCTCAAACTCTCAATACATGTTTCAACCAACTGTGACAGAATAGCATACCTAGATTACACTTATTTTAATTTTAAAAAAATATATGAAATTATTCAAACTTCAAGACAGCATTAAAAATAAAAATTGCATTATAGTGAATATTTTTTTTTTTAGTTTACTGTATAAGTTGGTGACCCCACAGAAAACCCATTGTGACCCATAGGTTGGGAACCTGTGGCTTAGAATATTGTCCTAGGTGGGGTGTTTGGCTATATACTGATACAATATCCATGCACAGAATAAACAGTAATAGTGACAATACCAATTCCTGATGCACACCAACAGTTATTGGAAAAGGTGAAGTTCCAGCTGGGCACCTCACCACACTGGTGTTGTTGTGGTATAAAAGCTGAGCCCATTTCATATAGGATTCAGGTACATTGTGTGCTTGGAGTGTTTTCAATATGTGCACATGTGGTACTTTGTTGAATGCCTTTTCCAAATCCAGAAAAGTCACATGAATAGATTTATTATTTTTTATGTTAGTATACAGACAGCATGAATGGTATCAATTAATTTGGAGTTATTTTGACAATTATGCTTAGGCAAATGTCAAGGATACACTCAAAGATTTTCATTGTATGACAGACTTACGATTTGTTGTTAAACTAAGTGCTGCTCGCAGCGATGCTGTTGAGAGTGTTGCTAAACTCGTTTTCTTGAAGCGCAGCAATCTAACTGGTTTGAGGTTAAATCTGCAGTGCTTATTTTAGTTGCTTTTCTTGCTGCAACAAGATGGCTGCCTCCACAAGGAAAATGTGTCAAGTTGATTTCTTTTATGACATGACAATAAAAGTATAAGATTTTGATCACCTTGATTCAATATTATGTTTGTACTAATTTTTCTTTTAAAATACTCATTAGTAAAATAAAATATTTGATAAAACTTTTATATTTAAAATGTTTTACTATCTACTTTATGCTGCAGAAACTGCTTGCATTAAATTTAAATTGTTAATTTTACCTCTCAAACAAAGTCTTATATCGCAAAAATGAATCACTTTTAAAATTTTTGAAATTAAATAATTCGCAAAACATTTTAATAGCCGCATTGAAATTTGCCATTTTAAAACCGCAGCACTGCTATGAATGAATTGTTAAAACACCTTCAGCAGTGATTACAGCAAAAGCAGCAGTATTGCTCCACAAGTGCTGAATTTAACAACAAGCCGTTATTGCAGCGGTTCCCAACCTTTTTTCATTAGCGTACCCCGTGACATGTCATTTCTCTAGATTGTACCCCTCATTTAAGAAATTTAGTGAGTAACAGTATTGTTAATTTTACATATTGTAACTTTAAATTAAAAAAAAAAAAAAAAAAAAAAAAAACTAATTTATAATGTTGATAAAAAGAATATATTTTCGTTCATACATGTAAAAATAAATACATTTACAATACAAATATAAAAATTATAATAAAAATAAAATTGCACAATAAAACTAACTTGAAAGTATTTGATTTTATATTAAAGGAGTTCAGTGTGAGCCTTGTCCTTGTTTTTTCTCACATAATTTTTTTTATGTCAGGTTCGATTGATGTGAGGTATAATCTCAAATTTGGATCTTCAGCTTATTGCGATTCTTATTTTTAATTATATAGATAGGAAGAAAAAGCTCTTTCCACAAGCACAGTACTTGTAAATGGCAAAAAAAACTGAAGTGCTTTATCAGAAGTAGCTCAAATTCTTTGTTAATGTCTACCCAAAAGTTAAAAAGATATTTTGATTTAAATTGGCATTTTAAAATCGAATTGGTTGAAATTTCGATCAAATTCTCTTTTTCCTTACTTAACAATTTAGCTACCTGAAAGTATTCCTCTTCAAATGGATTTAGAATCCAATAGTTTGTGTTGTCAGGTTTTGGAAAGTATTTCTGGAAATCCGATTTTAATCCTCGTAGGCTAAATGTTCAATTATTTGTTGATTTAATTCTGGAGAAAATCATAATTTGTTTTCAGATAAGAAACTGTGCAATGTTTCAAATACTTCAAGTTGACTATTTTTAATACACGATTTCCAAAAATCAAATTTTTTAATTATAGATTCAATTTTGTCAGACACAGTAAATATCGTTGTTTTATCTTGGAATGCCAAATTTAATTTATTTATATGTAGAAAAATATCTGATAAATATGCGAGAGCCTGAAGCCATTTATCGTCATAAAATTTGGATGAGAGCTTGAAAGGATTGCTTTCAAAAAAACTTATACCTCACGCCTAAGCTCAAATAGTCTGGTAAGAAATTTAACCACGAGATAGCCATCTCACTTCTGTATGAAGGAGCAATGTAGAATGAAGACTCATCATGTCGTCACAGAGCTTTGAAAATTCTTGAGTTTGTGGGCCTTGATTTTATAAAATTAACCACTTGGACAGCTTCATCAAGAACAAGTTTCAATTCACAAGGAAGGCTTTTAGAAGCTAAATTTTGTCTATGGATGCAGCAATAGCTCCAATTTACGTTCGGGGCTACTTTCATTACACGACTGCGAAGACCAGAGTAAATACCCGACATAGACTTGGCACATCGGTACATAATCCACAGCAGTTAGACCAATCAATTCCCTTTTCTTTGACGTAAGAATCAATAGCATTAAAAATATCCTCACCTCTTGTGCATTCTGACAAAGGATGACAAAGTAATAGGTTTTCTTCAATTTCGTTATCGACCAAATATCTTGCTATAACAAGCAAAATAACAAAATTGGCAACATCTGTGCTTTCGTCAACTTGAATAGCAAAAAATTTACTGTTTTTAATTCGGCTCATTGTTGTCATTTCAACATCATCAGACATCGCTGAATTCTTCGAGATATTGTATTGTTCAAAAGAGGAATGTTGTTCATTTTAGGTACTTGGTCTTCTCCGAGCATACAGCAAACAGCATCTTTTATACAGGGAAGAATCAAATTCTCAGCTATGGTATGATTTTTGCCACATTTAGCAATACAGTAACTAGCTTCAACGGCATTTTCGAAATTTTTGTCAGATGGCAGGATGTACTACTTCAAACTCGACTTACTCATATTTTGCTCCAAGCGTTTAAAAAAATTATGTTCCTTGTTTTTATAATTGGGATGCTTCATTTGTAAATGTCATAGGAGTAAGGAGATTTCATGCAGCCATTAGATAAAACATCTCCACATAATACACATTGTGGTTTAGGACAGTTTTCATTTCCTATATAAGTAAATCCATATTTAATATATTCATTGCAGTACTTTCTGTTTTTCTCTGTTTTCTGGACTTTTTCAGTGTTTAGATCCGAAGTGCTGTTGTCTTCAGAGCTATTTGCCAATTGAACCCTTTCCACATTATGTGTTAGCTCTTTTTTTGTTCCTTGTTCCAACCACAAGTTATCTATATCTAATGATAACTCAAAGATGAAATTAACGTATCCAATTTCAAAATTTCTCTCCGTTGCGTGTTGCCCTGGATTGAATTTTTGTCGATGACTAACAAAAATTTCCCGTTTATGAAAAAAATAATCATGGCTATCATATCGTCTGAAAATATTTTCTTATTTTGCACAAACAATATATATATATATTAATAAATGTAAACCGAAAACAAATTATATTTTTGAAGTTAGTTTTAACATAAAATTATAACAACTAGTGCCATCTGCTTTGAAAAACTTTCCAATGCTGAAAGTTTCTCGGAAAAATCTAGAGAAACTAGCTATGTCCTTTTCCTTGCTAACAATAAAAAATATTTTTTATAAACAAAAAAAATACTTTTTCGAACAACATGTGGGGATATTATTGAGAGATAATAATAATTACGGTAACACCCCACCATCAAAAGTCCGTAGCATAATCACTAATCACATATAATGATATCCCCACCACCATTGACCGACAGCACAATATTTATTGATCTGTTGCATTGTACAATTGGCAGCATAAGTTTTTATTTCTATTTTTGCATTTTGAAATGTATAATAAAGTTGTGATTGTTGCAAGGAACATTTTTTACCTAATAATTTTTTAATACTATTAGTTTGTGATACATAATATATTATTTTTTCTGCCATAATAACTCTTTTTTCTGTACCCCTAAACAACCTATTGCGTACCCCCAGGGGTATGCGTATCATGGGTTGGGAATCACTGCATTATTGGATGGTAGTTTGTGCATTCACTGACATCTCCCTTCTTTTTCCAGATAGATATGGTGATATTAGTTAGCCATCTCAGGTGGTCATCTAGCTGCTTTTGTGAAATTAAATAATTATAAAACAAAATTATTACTCCAGTTTATTTTCCTGATTATATGAAACAACAAAGAAAAATGTCTCACTAATAAAAATAATTCTTAAAAATTAACTAAAAATATAAAAATGAAACAGATATGACTTTATACAATAGGTTTATAATCATGAGACTAATGACCTTTATCACCTCTCAAACTATCTGTAACTATCAGACAAAGCTATTAATCAATAAAAGTTGATTAATAGTCTTGGTGTCTGTTTAATTGATAAAAGTCTGTGGATCATAACTTATCAGACTGTGGTCACACAGACTGTTCGAATCAAAAGGAGGTGAACCATGTGTCAGGAAATATGATGTCACTGCTCTATTATGTGATGCCTCCAAAGTTTGGTCCAAAAGAATGAAGCCTTTCAAAAAAAAGTTGTCAGGAAATATATCAGAGATGTCACATGGCTAAGGTAGTACATTTCTAGGTATTCGCATGATGTCAAAGTAAGGTCACAACAGATTTTGTATGCATCTGCCATCCAACATGCTATTTCGCAATGAAAAGAAGCTTAAGCAATGGCATCTCAAACAGTGCTCACTTGATAAGTAGTCCTATCATTTTTTGTTTATAGCACTTTTTATATGAGTCACCTCCAAAGGTTGTTTGTAAATGTCTGTCAAATTTGTCTCGCTTAAAAAGATATTAAAATAAAATGTGTAATGATCTGCTTCTATAGTTTTTCTCAAAGATATCAATGGAACCATCAAAATTTTTCCAAAACATTTCATATGACTACAAAACAGGACATTCCAATTTTCAACACGAGTGTTGAGTATTGAAACCAATAATTTGACATCATCAACGATGTTCCAACTTCAAGTACAAAGTGCTTAGTTCTCAGTTCCATTCTCAGCAAGATGGATTTCATTCAAATATTGCACCAATTACCCACAATTCATTGGAAAGTAGCAGTCAACATATCTGTTGAGTGCTGAGTATGTTGAATTAGTGTTGACAACAGCACCACTTCAACGTTGAAAAAAGGAATGACTTTTAACAAATGCTGAGATCAGTGCTTAGTCAGCGTTAAAAATTGGAATGTCCCAAATGTCACACAGATCAGCAGCTTAACCTTTTTGGTCTTATGGCCATCTTCATTTGGAAAGTTACATTTTAGGATTGGAAGCAAGGATTGATGATACTCTTAACTGATAACTTGAACTAGAAAATATTGATTTGAAAATAAACGTTTTCAATTTCATTAAATAAATTCTTTAAAAAATCTGTAGAACTTAAAACAAAAAAAGGCACTGAAACTACTTACTTAGATTTGAAAGAACAAAAAACGGATTTACATTTAATACGATCAGATCCTGCTTTCACTTTCACTATTAATTTACTCGCGTTTTCTTCGTCTTTTTCTCTCTTTACGTTATGGTATTTGTCTAATTCACTCATATTTATTGTCTTGTTCACTCAGAAACTACAACGAACATATTGTTCAAGTAAAAACCAAAATCCACGTGTTTTGTAAACCATGTGAACAGGTGTGTTTCAGCGCCATCTAACAATACGTAACTACTTCAATATTTTATTTAAAATAAATATTGTAAAATATATTACAACATTCATTTTAAATTATATTTGTGTATTTATATTAGTATTTAAATATATAACAGTTTAATATATTATAATTAATATTTACAATTATTTTTTGTTTTTAGTTCTTTCCACCCTGTGGGCACTAACAAGAGCAGTAAGAGAAAGTCTTGTAAGTAGTGCTGTGCGATGTCTATAATTTTAACATCGATGTCAAACATCGATGTTTGCCTAAGCATCGATGCTAAATTTCGATGTCGGATTTCACATCGATGTTTGATCGATGCCCATTGGAACATCGATGTTCAATCAAGATAAACTCAAACAGTTTAAAAAAAACAAAACTTAATTTTATTTTCAACTTGTATAGTTCAATTACAGTTCCAATGCATACAGTTCTTCAATTGATAATGAATTTAAAACTAGAAGTTTATGTACATTCTTTGGCTTTAAAGAACTCCGCTTTTTGTTGATAGTATTTCCAGCTTTGGAAAATAATCTTTCTGCTGGAACTGAAGTGGCAGGAATGCAAAGCCACTTCATGGCAAGTTCACATAAATTATAGTTAAAAAATTTCATGGATTTCCACACATCCAAAGCATTACTATTGTGAGGCACAATAGGGTCATCTAAAAAAGTATTAAAATTTGAATTTAAAGTTGCATTTGTGTTAACATTTCTATCTTAATATCAATTTTTCTGGATGACCAAAGGTCATCATCTTCAAGTTTATTTTCTGCATTATTGTGGAAACTTATTTGAGCCTCAGCAGAGGGAAATTTACAAAGTTCTGCATTTACACATTTAATTGCATTTGCACAACATGCTGGACTTTTAAAATCTAGCTTTTTGAACCTTGGGTCTAGTAATGTGGAAACACTATATACTAACTTCGTCTCAGTGGATTTAAAACGGAAATCAAGATTACTAAAACATTTTTCCAGCAACTTCTTTCCCACATTTGTTTCTGTAGAAACCTTGCAAAGTGTATTAAACATTAACCCTAAAAATGGGATAATTTTACTGATGGTAGTGTGAGTTTCTGCTGAAATTTCATTAGTTACTTTATAAAAAGGTTTTAGTACTTTAAGCGCATCATTCAAAGCACTTAATTCTCTACCAGAGAGCATGTCGGGTGCCCCTGGAAACTTTTGCAATGTTAGTGTAACAAAATTTTTTAGTAGTACAAATCTCTCAATCATCAAGAAATACGAATTCCATCGAGTCTCAACATGCTGAATTAATTTTAATGCCACAGAACCTTTTTCATTCTGCGATGAGTCGGCGTAAACAGACTAACATGGCAGAGTTGAGGGTGAGTTTCAATGAGTGTGAGTTCGTTCACTGTTAAAATAGTGTAAATTTGTAAACATATTTGCAAGAACTTTGTTTCATCGCAATTTCTACTAAATTCCCGGACTGTCCGGGTGAAAACCGAACAGGTGGTAACACTAGGAACAAAGAATGAACTGCATGCATCGATGAATCAAAATTCACATCGATTCAGGATCGATGTTTCAAAAACATCGGAAGGTCGATGCATCGACGAACAAAAACATCGATGTATCGATGTCACATCGATGCATCGCACAGCACTACTTGTAAGAGCATGAGCGAATCTGCATAGGGACTAATAGAGCTTAGCCCTGGGCCCCAAGAGTCAAGGGCCTACTAAAATTGAATTATATCATAAATTTTTAATACTTTTTCTTTAACAATGAGCACTTATCGTATAGTAAAAGATAGTTACAGTAGAACCTTGATTATCCGCCCTAATTGGGGACTGGGGTTGGTCGGATAATTGAAAAGTCGGATAACCGAAAAGTATGAAAAAATCCATTATTAGTGTAGTATATTATTATATCCCATGTAATTAGTATATTAGTATATTAGTATATCGCTATTTTGCGTTGAAATTTCATCGATGTTAAGCCTAACAAAAATTTTTTAAAATAATAATCGTCGCTATTGTATCGTTAAAAATTAAAAAATTAAGCTTCGTTTAAATACTGGCTCCCTTTCATGGTCGAATGAGTGTTGCCAGCTAAAACACGTAAAAATAATATTAAAGTAGTCAAGACATAGCCAAATATTGTAGCACCACATCACTAGCGGACATTTGAAATTTGCCGACTAGGACGGTCGGTTAACCGAGGGGTCGGTTGATCGGGGGTCGGATAATCGAGGTTCTACTGTAATATTAATAACATAATAATAATGATAATTTATAGCAGGGGTGTCCAACCGGCGGCCCAAGGCAAGTTCCAATGCGGCCCAATAAACGTGTAAACAAAACCGACAAAATGTTTTAATTTTTTTATTATTTATCTATTTCAACGGCATAAACTCAAAAAAGAAGTTTCACAAAGCCGTAAACCTTTATTCATATTTTATTTTTGAGTGGAAAGAAAATATTTTCAAATACTTGGAAATGTGTGAATGACGAAGGATTACTAAATAAAGCTGGTGTTGTGACCAGGGCTGTGGAGTTGGGTAAAAATCTACCGACTCCAACTCCGACTCCGACTCCGAATCCGACTCCAGCTAAAACACCAAAACTCCACGACTCCGACTCCATAATCCTGCCAGGGCTGTTGAGTAGCGTAAAAATCTACCGACTCCAACTCCGACTCCGACTCCAGCTAAAACACCAAAACTCCACGACTCCGACTCCGACTCACTGATTGTGACTCAAAGGATTATAGACCCAAATTTGTAAAAAGAAGGGAAAGATGAAAAAAAAAAAAACAAAAGATGTAGTAGTGAGAAAGGTTAAACATATCTTCTGTTGACCCTTAATTTTCCAACCTTTTTCACTTTTTGTCCTTTCTCTCCTTTCCCTGCACTTGGGTCTATAATCCTTTGATTCACAACTACAGCTTTATTTAGTATTTTTTCCGTTGCAAGATTTGGCTACATTGAGCCAAATGTGGCTACTTTTTTTGTTTGACGTATAAAATATCATTTGGTGCTTTGGCTATTTTTTGGGCTACATATTATTTATAATTATATTAGTTGAATAAAAATGCACTTTAAAATAGTGTTTCGTCGCTTTTTATTAATTAGAAACCCAAATATAACAAATATTTGTGTTTTTCAAATAAATTTCCGTTTGTCTCCTTTATAATAAATGAATTTATCTATTTCTAAGTAAAAATTGAAAGTGTCTGTAGAAGTAATTTTTAAAATATCCTTTTTCTTGATAAAGTTTTAATACTTATTATTATAATCCAGACATGTTAATCCTTAAATATACTTGTATATTGGGCTACAAGTATATATTATATGTACTTGTGGCCAAAACTCCTTGGCATCTTCCAATGTGGCCCAGAGAAACAAAAAGGTTGGACACTTCTGATTTATAGTATTATTTGAACTAGAGTCGATAGCAGTGGCGTGCCGTGACATTTGATGATAGGGAAGCTGTGTTTCTGTAAGAAGCCGACATCCAGGGGCAATCAGTCAATTGCGCGTCAGTGATGGTCTAGGGTCCATTCGTATCGTTTATTCGATAAGCCAGTAAAAACCGTAGACTTCTCTAAATGCATTTTTAATATCACAATTACATTCCGAATCGCTAGCCACGATATAAGGGCTACAATTAAAAATAAAATAATAAAAACTTACTTGGTGAAATAAAATGTGTGGTGGATGTACCGGTACATACCTGGTACAAAATATTCTTCAATTGTATGAATATACTTTTAAAGAAAATTATAATTAAATATAGCTTTGTGAAGAAACGTACATAAAAATATAAAATATTCTTTACTTTTTAAATCTTAAAACAATGCACTTAGTCAAATAGCTCCCTACGAGTGGCTAATGGATGGAATCGAAAACGATTGCAGAGCGTGCATACACTCGTACTGCCAAATCCCCAGGATGCCGATACGGTTAATGTCAAATACCTCTTTTGCCGCATCATTAGTATATCTCAAAGGACGCGACGGGACTGTTGTAGATTTTAAACGTTTCTCACCATAGCTGTAAAAATCTAAACATGTTAAACTTAATTAAACAACAGCTTAACCGAACCATCTGTAGCCGAGTACAGTGGAGACTGATTTCTTCGTATTATTAATGTAATAAAGGCAGAAATTTTTCCAGTTCAATGAGAGTGACCGAAAAGTTGTAAATTTTGGAAATTTCCGTTGACAACACCTGGTCCTAAAACGAATTAGTTAGAAAACAAAGGACTATTAAGTAAAATTTCGGCTCTTTCATCAGAATTTTGTTTATGTCCCCAATTCCCTGATCGCTTAATTATTTAACTACTTCTTAAGTAGAAGTAAGTCGAAACCGATTACTTTGTACTCAAATATTTGTAGTCTCGGGAAAAAAGTGGAAAGATNAAGGACTATTAAGTAAAATTTCGGCTCTTTCATCAGAATTTTGTTTATGTCCCCAATTCCCTGATCGCTTAATTATTTAACTACTTCTTAAGTAGAAGTAAGTCGAAACCGATTACTTTGTACTCAAATATTTGTAGTCTCGGGAAAAAAGTGGAAAGATAAATTTTTATGACAAACGGACGTATAAATCATAAATTTAAGGAAAATAAATTCTAGAGCTTTTTCTATACCTCGTGCATCTCTCTCATTCATTAAATTTAGCTGTAAACAATGCTACCAAAGTAACAGTTAATTTTTTAACATTGTACAAGAATTGTACACGTTTTTTTTCTACATCCCCTTAAAGATGGGATATACGAAATCGTAACATCACTNAGTTGTAAATAATGCTACCAAAGTAACAGTTAATTTTTTAACATTGTACAAGAATTGTACACGTTTTTTTTCTACATCCCCTTAAAGATGGGATATACGAAATCGTAACATCACTGGTTTAACATTGAAATCCGTGAGTAATATAAGATGGGAGAGCGGAATAAAAATATCAAATATTTTAATGGATTTTTTAAAATTCCTGTCAACTATACACAGGGCCGGATTAACCCACTTTGGGGCCCTAGATATTTTCTTCTTACGGGGCCCCCTTTCTCACACTAGAAATAAAGCGCACAAAAAATATAAA